AGATATTAAAAACCTTAAATATTTTATTCTGGTTCGTTGCTATAAATTGTTATTGCGCCATATATTTAATGTTTATAAATTATGAATATTTATCTCAAAATTTTTATTACAAAAATTGTATTACATTAATTACTCGTATAATATTAAAAATACTTATCTAAGTAAAAAATATTTATCTCAAAAATTGTTTTACATTAATTACCCGTATAAAATTAGTAACAGCTTTTTTATTTGATTAGACGATATTTCGTTTTAATTTGCTTTGCATTAAGTTCGGAAAGTCAAACGAAAAAATAAGTTTGAATTATCACGTCGAAATATATTTAAAACAAATTATTTTAATGGCGGAGGTTCTAAAGTTTTTTATAACAAATGTAGGTAAAAAAATAAATAACTAAATAAAAAGTTCAGTATTAAACACTATTTCTTTATTATATTGCAACTGTAAATATTGAATTATTAACTTGAACTAAATTTACTTATTATTTAGAACGACTAAGCAATAAAAATAAAATGCCCCTAAAATTATGCGAGATTGTGTTGTTTATTTAATAACTGTTGTTTATGTTGATTATTTTCATAAATATCAAAATAGTTCCAGATTAATCTGTTCGTTGCTTTGCTCATTGTTGATTTATTTCTTATTTAATTTTATCTCAAACTATAATGACACGTTAAAAAAAAAAAAGTTATTATTTCATCGGGTGCTCTTTTTATAAAAGAGTAGAACAAAAGAGAAATAAAAGTTTCGCGTAATTAAACTTTGAATGAATAAGAGTTGTATAGAATATATATTTTTTTTGCGTCACTCGTTCTTTTTTTAGATGAGAGAAATAAAAGTTTAAGAGTAAATTTCTTTGAATAAATGAGAATTAAAAGAGAAAATTGCTTGAAAATTTGTATTTGTTAATTGTGTTTTTAAAATTTTTTAATTTTTCATGTTAAGAGACAAATGCCAATTACGACACAAATTTGGAAATACCAAATATAATGTTTTTTAATGCGCGTTATGACATTTTAACAATAGCGTACCGTTATGGTGACGTCACAAAATTTTACTGTTTTGAATTCTGGGATTGATATTCGGACAAACAAATCATTCGTATAAGCATATGCATAAGCATTAGAATGTATTTCTTATGATTTATGACTACGATAAAGGTTAATTTGGCAATGGACGATGATATGAACGAGATTATTTTGTTGGCAAAAGATGTTCCTGGAGCATTTTTAGAAAAAGATGTTTCCGATTGTAACGTTGATGAGTTAAAACGATGGCTTGCGTGTCATGGACAGAAAAATGGAAGGAAAAAGTCTGAGTTAATAGAAAGAGTTTCTTCGTGTATGAAAATGGAAATTCCAGTTGACAGCGAAGTAGATGGTGGTAAATGGTATGATGCAAAACTATGTAGTATTTCACCATCAACAGTTAGCAATTTATCTTTACCCAAAATTGGTTGGCACATGTTTCCTTTCCATTCTATTCCATCTATGTTCAACTATGGTAATGTTTATTATTACATGGTTGAATCAATTTCAAGATTATACCAAAATAAAATCGCAACTCAAGATGACTTAGAAGTTGAATTAAATGACACTACAATTGCAAAGCCTCTCAAGAAAGGTCGGGCATTATTAGATATTTGTTTCATTGAAAATGTTCAAGACAATATTTTTTTAACTTCTAATACTATAAATGGAGTTGAGTCTTCTGAAGTAGATACCTATTATTTACGGGCACATGTTCACCATTCAATGAAAAATGATATACCGCTGGATGTAACTGTCATAATAAGCAATGTTAGTGGTCATGTAAAAACAGCAACATGCAACTGCATTGCAAACAGTCTTGGTAGATGTGCACACGTAGCATGTTTACTTCTTATGCTTAGTGATTATATTTTGTTAAATGGGTACGCAGTTAATATGCCATCAACTTCCTTACCATGCGAATGGAATAAGGGTAAAAAAAGGAAAAAAAACCCGCAAGAACTTCATAAAGCATTTTATAAATCAACCAAACGCACCAAAACATTGTATGAATGGAATCCTAGACCAATTAAATATAGAAATGTTGTTTCAAAAAATAGTGTAAGCCAATTCGTACAATCTCTTCAATCATACAGTGCAGAAAACAATGAACTATCAATGTGGAAAACACTTTTAACTGTTACTTAGGACGATTTTGAACTTGATGAAAACGACATTTCTATTTATACATCACTTGTTAATTCTTTTGAACAGTCTATAATGGAATATAATAAACTCATTATTCCTGAAAATAAATTATTTATTTAATAACCTAATACTGATCAGGCATCTAATTATGAAACTTAGTTTCAAGCTAGGTGGTTTCGTATAACAGCTTCAGATTGTAAGACTGTTACAATCAAAGGCAAACACTTGGATAAGAAAGAACTTTCATTACAACAGTGCTTTAATTATTTAAAAAATAAACTTTGGTTTACTAAAAATATAAAAACTGTTGATATGATATACGGACTTAAACAGGAGCCAATAGCAATTACAAAATATGAATTGTTAACAAATACAAAAATTATTCATAGTGGTATTTGGATACACCAACATTATCCTCATCTAAGTGCAACTCCTAATGGTCTTATTTATGATCTTAAAAATACTGTTATAGGAATAATAGAAGTTAAATGTTTAAAAATTTTAAAAAATCGTAGTATTGACGAAATCCTTAAAAATAATGAACTTTTGAAAGGTATAAAGAATCAATGTTTTACTGTTAAAGACAAAAAAATGATTTTATGTCAAACTCATGCATACTACTATCAAATACATTTGCAACTTCTTTTGACAGGAGCTAACTTTTGTGACTTTGTTTTAGACAATGGTATTGGTAATCCTCATATAGAAAGAATTTTTAAAAATGACCATATTCAAACAGAAATTTTATTTTATACATAAAAATTTTGGAAACGAGTCATGATACCAGAGTATTTTATAATGAAAGTACCTCGTGAACTTTTACCAGTGGTTTTATAGTTGTTGATATTCTGCTATGAAAGATTTTTGGTTGATCAATGATTTAAAGTCCCAGACAGTGACTATAATCCTGTCAAAACAGCTATTTTCATAGCTACATATCTTTATAACTACATTTTTTGATTTATGACTCAGATGTTTTTATTTGTATTTTTTTAAACGTCCTTACAAATACTCTCTCTCTTTCTCTCTCTCTCTCTCTCAAACACGCACATATATAAAAAGTGTGTTGAAATATCAAAATAGTAAGTATAATTTATATTTTATTACAATCTTCCAGATTTATGTAGGATTTTATATTTTGTGAAACTTGAGGAAGAACCCCGTAATTCGAAAGAATATTCAACTATCACTCTTAATACTTTTATTAATTAAGGCAAAGAACCAAAAATGTACATTTGGTAAGGATCTAAAACAATATTGCTTAAACGATCCTGAGCCTCTAGTAATTAGGGTTTTATGATGTAGGGGGTTTTAGGGGCCCTGCACATATATATAAATATATTCTAAAATCTCTTGCAAGCACAAAGTGAATAATTATTTCTTTAACAAGCAGTGGTTGAATAGGGGGAGAGCGCTATATCCCCAAGGCCCAAACTTTTCTAGAGGACTTTTTTGTTTTAATTAGTCATTTTTAAGTTGCAGCACATAAAAATAAGGCCTAAAAAAAAGCACCAGGCTTCAAAAAGTATTAGCCTGCCACTCATCGTTTCAAATTACGGTTCAAACTTTAAAACCACATTAAAAGTTTTGTGAAAAAGTAGTTTTTAACAGACTAATTCACATATTGTTGGTAAAATGCTTAATATTAGTATATACTATATATACTATAGTATTATTATATATTAGGGGAGAGGGGGGAGCATTGGTACTCTTGAGTTCCGAATACAACGGGGGTGGGAATAAACGGGTGGGTGGGAATTTTAGTCAAAATCTAATAAACGGGGGGTTTTTATTAATCGGGAGGGGGTACTGAAAAATTACTGAAGTAACATTTTTAAAAACTATACAAGACCCTGAAATTGCCGCTTATAAACAATTATTCGTTGATGTGCTATGTAAGGATAAAATAGGCGAGCAAGTGATAGTCGAGATGCAGGTTAGTAAACATATATTTTTTCTGAAATGTTCGCCAACTTTCACTGCAATTTTATTTTTACTTTTGAGATAATTTTTTTGTTGATAACAAGTAAAAATTAATAAACGGGGGGGGGGTCTTAATAAGCTTAGGGTGGGTGGGAAAAATATCCAAAAATTATTAAACGGGGGGGGGGGGGGGGACTTTTATTCGGAACTCGAGAGTACAGAGGCAAATTTTGGATGATATTTTTTACTGTATTATTGTAAAATTGTTTTTATTGTAAAATTGCAGTGTACCAATGCTCCCCATGTAAAGGAGCATTGGTACAAGAAAGTGTGTTTAGAAAACTCAAAATTAGTGACCTTAAACCTATACTAAATCCGCCACTGGTATAGGTAAGGGGGTGATATAAGAATTTTAAACAACTGGGGGGCAATATAAGAAAATAAAATTTAAAAACTGTCAACCTATAAAAAATCTCTTAAATTTCAATTATAAACCCTAAACCTGTTTGTATGTAAGGGAAACTCATCTTTCCCTTTGTTTTTTAGAACTTGAACCACCTTAAGTAACCAACAACCCTATTTATTACATCTGTGCAAAAAAAATTCATTACTTGCCAGCTTCATACTTATTATTACAAAATAAAAAGTTAATTTTTGAAGTCGAATATTACAGAGCTTCTTATCAACTAAATATGGCCATGTGATACATCTATGTGGTACAAAAACAGGTTTTAAAATGCTTTTTTGTTAATGTTTCTATTCTAATCAACACTCTTCAGTAACCTCAGAGTACATCATATACATCTAAACAAAATTAAAAGCAAAGAGTTCTCAACCAATAATGTAATATTATGATATGTAGCTATGAAAATAGCTGTTTTAATTTGGAAAACCATGATTTACTTGCATAAACAATCTTGAAAGTTAACAAGGCAAGCTGCAACGTAAACTAGCTGTGAAGCAATAGGGCTAGGTTTTTGTGGAATGGTTCCATTGATAAAACTAAATTTTTTTAAACGTTCATTAAATCGTTCAATATGAATACGTGCTTTAGCAATTAACTCTTCTTTAGTAAGAGATTTTCGTTTTCCAAAAAATGCAGGGATGTATATTGTCGCTTGTTTTGGCAGCAGGAGATCTTGTATTGTAAAGCCTTTATCCACTAATAAACTGTCACCAGGATTAATAAAAGATAAAATGCCACACTGTTGAAAGATTGTGACATCATCAATACTTCCTTCAAAAAGGTTTGAAACAAAACAAGCAGCTCCATGAGGATTTACAGCAATTAGACATTTCATAGTACAATGATGCTTATACGAAGAATAGTTATTGCCTTGCTTACCATAATCACGTGGCATTTCACAGAAAAATTCAGTGCAATCAACTGAACATCTTATGTTTGTGAAATTTTTAAAAACTGAAGGAAGAAACTGTTTAAATTGTTGTCGAGGTGGAAACATTAAAACTTCATATTCTTTAAAGTGATGAAACAGAAACATTATCCAAGTTGTAAAAATTCTACGTATGTTATACTCACTGACACTATACATATGAGCCAATGTGACAATGTTATAGCCACGTCGAAGTCTTAAAAGAGTAACAAATAATTGTTCTTTGATATTCAAAAAAAATTGGTTTGGTTGCTTTTGTGTGCTATTTTTGGAATATATGGAATTCCAGTAATTTAATTCATATTTTGCTGGACCAAGAAAATCAAATAATATTTCAAACTGTTTCTTGGATCTACATTTTCTTGGATCGTTAAGAATGTTTGAAGAACACATGGGGTTACACTTCTCATGAGATTTGCAAACAATGAGCTCATTGACAGCAGATATTCGATTTCGAAGTACCATCGTTTCTACTTTTGCTCCAAGCGTATATTTATTGTAATAGGTTTGAGTTTCTTTGTCATTAAGAGTTTCTAAATGAAGATCTGAATCATTTTCACCAGATATTTCTAAAGAAAATTCATCCAATATTTGAGGAGATACTTCAAGTGATATTTCTGAAGATACTATTTGTGATATTTCGTAAGATGGAAGAATTTTTTTTTTAATGATAAAGTATCCAGATTTCTTTCTTTTGGTGATTTTCTTTTTTGTAATTTCTTTTGAATTTGATTAACAGTAAGCGCAGCTGATAATAGATTAGGATGAGTTTCAGTTGGTCCATTATTTCCTATAAAATGTAAAGAACAAATATACGTGTCTTTTTTTATCTGATTAATACTGTTAAAGTCCTTTCTTCCACATGCATTTAGCCATGTCGTTGATTTTAATGTTTTTATCTGTTTTTGCTGTTTTTCCTATTCAGTCATTGAATCTTTAATTTTTCCAGGTTTAGGAAATCCTATAAAAAATGTTCCAGGAGGAAATCTTTCAGTATATCCTGAATCTGATCTGCAAATTCCCCAACAACAGTGCTTAGTAGTGCCTTTAACCTCCATGTTAATGAAATTGTTTGTCCGAATATCAATCCCATAATGACTTGCGCTAAAGAAAGAAAATCTATTTTTCGACCTATAACGGTACGCTATTTAAATTACCATCTATTTTGAATTATTGCCTTTGATTAATGACTTAATTATTGCGTTATTTAATAATAATTTGTTCGCATTTTTGTTAAATATTAGTTCTATAAAACGGGCGAAAATATACAAACCTCATGTTTTTTACTTGATGGTTATAAAATATTGAACAGTAAACTTATAATCAAAAGTTATAATGCCGAATTGTGTGCAATTAATTGTACTTTTAATGCAAAATCAGGATCTCACATATCCTTTCACGAATTTTCATATCTGATACTACTGTCAACTTTATGGTTTAGTGTATTCTTGTATTTTTTTTTCATAGTCTTAACAGGTTTTAATTGGTATGGAGTTGCTGACATTTTAAAAATTTCATTATCAAAAATCAAATGTAAAATAAAATGATATTTCCTGTTTATCCGTATCCAATTCAGCAAATTTAACAATTTAAATTAAATCAGCGTGATCAAAAAATTTTATAATAAAAAAAGTTAACAATTTATTAAATATCTCTAATTAATACTGTCAGTTTATGAAAGTAAATGTTAATAAACACTTTTTTTCAACGGGAAAACAAAAAATTGTCATAGCGTATAAATAACCAGTGAAGTTAGAAAATAGTTCCCATTGTTTAAATAAAAATAATTAAGAATCAGAATATATAATACTGCGCTCTCTTGCGCAAAAACTAGAGACCGTATATAAAACGTTCTATATAATGTAAAATACTCGTATGAAAATCATGAGATTGGTAAGTAAAGCTTTAATATTTGTTTCAATTTAAATAATTAAAGAAATATAAGTAAGATATATAAATCTAAAAATTATTAAGATATCTGTAAAAAATAAGTTGCTCCTATAAAATAATAATAATGTTTTGTTTTTACTTTTTACAAAACTTTTTTTTGCGACGTTTGGAAAAATAATACAAATAAATTTGTTTTGCTGTATGTTAAAAAAATACTACAGTAGAAAAACGCAGCTTAGTTTAATTGCACTTTTCTTTTGTTAAAAGTCTACCGTGACGTCAAATACTAAATCTTTTATGAATTAAACGCGCTTCAAAGGAATTGCCGAAGTCTGTAGATTACGACGCATAATTTGAAGACTCCGAATAGTTGAAAAAAATGGAGAAGACGAGCTTCGGCAAAAACAACGACATTTGTTTTTCACGGTATGCATTAATTATTTATTTTTAATCAAAAAAATTTGGTTCAAACCTTTTTTTTTAACATTATCTTTAATATGAACACAATATGTGTTGGGAGTTTGGGATCCTTTAAACACTGCATTATTAAAATTTATAATTTAACAATTTGTAAATAGATGTTTAACACTTTTGTTAAAGGTATCTTAAAACTGTATATCTTCTTTAATAAGCATTCTGGTTGTTATGAGACATTAGATAGTGGTTGAAAATTTACTAATAAAAAATGTAGTTTTTAGAACAAATCATTTTACATGCACAAACCACGTACTTATTAAACATTTAAGGTTTTAATTCAGTTGGACAGCTTGGGGAGGAATGAGCCGTTCCATCACGGATAGGAGTGAACCGCGGCTAACTAATACTTCACGTTAAAAAAGTTTTGACTTCAGCGTAAAAACATATTTACGTTTGTCTTTAATATCTTAGTATATCATAAGAAAACTCATGTGCAACATTACATTTATTTTTACATGTTATAATGCCTCGAGTCTATAAAAGAACAACTTCAAAAGCAAAAACCCCCAGTAAAAATATGACGGATGCATTACATTCGATCCAAAAAGGAAAAAGTATTAGAGAAACTGCAATAACTTTTAAAATACCCTTTGCAAGTTTTCGTCGTTATTGGAAAAAAAAATTTCTTGATGAAAATACAAGATTTACCTCGAATTAATATGTTAAAAGAATATTTACAGACAAGCAGGAATTAGAATTAAAGGAATATATTTTGACTTGTTTAAAAATGTTCTATAGCCTTCCAATTAAAAAATTTCGGTGTATAGCTTTTGAGATGGCAACCATTAATAAAATTAGTATTCCACAGAAGTGGCACAAAGACTCAATGGCAGGTGTTGATTGGATGAATAATTTTAGAAAGCGACATCCAGACTGGTCTCTTAGAACACCTGAAGGATGTTCTCTCTCAAAGGCAACGTCATTTAATGCCCATAATATAAATATATTTTTTGATAAATTAAAAGAACTTTTTGCTAGATCACTAACATTAGCAAATAGAACTCGGATTTTTAACCTTGATGAAACTGGAACTATTACTGTGCAGAACCCACAAAAGGTATTTTATTCTTCAATAATAAGTATACTTTTATTCGTGGCATATTTTTTTTTATATATAACCTCTAAATGTTTAGGTTCTTGCAACGAAAGGTGTGAAGAGTGTCTGCAAAGTCACAAGTACTGAGAGAGGAACCCTTGTCACAAAATGTATAATAATCAGTGCTTCCACCAGTAATTATTTTTCCAAGAGTGCATTTCAAGGAGCATATGTTGCTAGGAGCTTCTTCTTGACAATATCTTCCACCAGTAATTATTTTTCCAAGAGTGCATTTCAAGGAGCATATGTTGTTAGGAGCTCCTTCTGGATCTCTCGGACTTGCATGTAAAACAGGCTAAATGAACGGTAAACTTTTTTTAGATGTTATGAATCACTTTATCAAGTTCTCGTCAAGTACAAAAGAAAATCTATCATAATTAATATATGACAATGAAGCGCACTTATCTATAGCAGTGTTAAATTTAGCAAAGGAGCCTGGAGTGACCATTTTGACATTACCGCCTCATTCCCGCATAAGTTACAACCACTTGATGTGGGAGCTATGGGGCCATTTAAAACTGCATATAATGCAGCAATTGATTCCTGGATGCTCCACAATCCTGGAAAAACATTTACAATTTACAGAGTGGCTGCATTTGTAGGGCTTGTTTTTCTGAAACCATAACACAATCTGACATTGTAGCTGCTTTTAAAAAGACAGGTATTTTTCCTTATGACAGGAACGTGTTTACAGATATTGATTTCATGTGCAGTTCTGTGACAGACAGAACTTTTGATGTTAACAAAACTTGCATATAAAATCACGTAAGCATCAAAAATCACTTGCATAAAAAATCACGTAATAAAAAATTAAAACTTGTATAAAAATATATATATATATTTTTTTTATTTATTATTTTTCAATTTTTTGCCGTAGAAAGTTACAGTTTATAAAATAACATAAATAATAAAACAAATGGCTGGAGCAAGAAGAAGACATCAGTTTGTCTTATCACCGAGCCCCATTTCGTTTTTTACAACAAAATATGTAAAATCGTGATAAATTGTTTGTGATAAAATATGTAAAAATGTGAAAAACTACGTTTTACAATTGATATAACTGTTTATATATAAATTCGTTTAGTAAAATAAATTTAGAACAAGTAAAAGTTAAAACAAATAAAAGAAATAAATTGTGCTAGTTTATTTTATACTAAAAAAGAAAAAGAAAATTAAAGTCCATAGATAATAAAAAACGCTTTGATTCAGATTTGAACTGTTCAAGTGTATTTCTTTTGATAGAAACAATCTGGGGAAAAATTTTCCACAAATAAGGTTCGCGGTGTTGGATTGAGTATGAATTTAACTTTAATGTAAATTTTGGGATGATAAAGTTGTTATATGAGAATATAGTAGGGTATTTATGACTTATTTCGCTAAAATAGGGTTGAAATATCGGCGGAGATAGTCCATTTTTTATTTTGTACATAAACTGTAAAACAAGATGTATGTTAATTTTGTATATATTCAATGCTCCAAGTTTGCATAAGAGAGGTTCACCAGACGCTTTTTTACTTACTCCGAAGACAATTCTACAGGCAAGTTTTTGTTTACTGTAGAGTTTTTTAAGCTTAGTACAGTTTGTGCTTGCCCAGGCCATGTTACCATAGCTTAGATGACTATGTATTAATGAAAAGTATAAACTTCTTAAGGAAAGGATATTTAGGAAAGGTTTTGCTTTATACATTAATGAAATATTTCTTGAGAGCTTTCTCTCTAAAGTGTTTATATGGAGCTTCCACGACAAATTTTCATCCAAGACCACACCTAGAAAGTCTATAAAATTTACTCTTTTTATATTAGTATTATTTATTTTAAGATCAGGTAGTTAAAGAGGAATATTTTCGTTTTTATTTGGTTTATGAAATAGGATGAACTTGGTTTTTTTGACATTCAAAGAGAGTTTGCTACACCTAAACCACTCATTTATTTTATGTAATTCTTTGTTAACTATGTTAAAAAGTGTCCTAATGTCTCTATGCGAATAAAACAAATTGGAGTC